CCATTTTACAATATATAACTTTCAAAGTGTCATTTTAAATATCATGAATATATACAATTTTTGTCAAAAATCTTTTAAAATGGTTTAATCCCAGAACTCTTGAGATAGAAGCAGGAGGCATCTCTGTGAGTTTATGGCCAATTGATGTACATAGACAATTCCCAGACAGCCAGACTTATATAGGAAGATTCTATCTCAAACAACACATCATGTGTACATCATTGAGTTCACAGGTTGTGAGTCCCCCAGGGCACTTTCTCAAACACACTCTGATAGATGCTAAAATAGTTGCAGGCTGTTGTAAATGAAACATATTTAGTAACCACCCTGGTGTTATCAGGCTGTCCCCAAACTCCAAATCCTTCTTGCCTTACCATGTCCTGTATTGCTTAAGATCAAAATGGCACAAAAATATCACCCACAGATCTACAAAGCCTATGTATTTGCCCAAGTTTTTCTGAGAATTCTTTTTCCCTTTAAAACGCTGCATAGTGCTCACTATTAAAAACAAAACAGAACAAAACAAAACAAACAAACAAACAAAAAAAACGCCACTGCTTTCTCTCACCAACCATCCAAGTTAGATATAACAATCATCAGAAATTAAGGGCAGTGTCTGGACAGAATCCAGGCAAGCTGGGCCTTAGGATCCCACATCTACAGCCAAGAATCACTTTTTGTCTTTTATCTTACTGACAGAAACCAATGCTCCCATCTCAATGATGCTTCCTGGGTTGGATGCAGTAAGGGAGGCCTGTAACTTCTAATGCACCGGAAGCTAAGACGGGAATATTACATTTCTGAATTCAGCCTAGGCTACATAGCAATTGTCTGGGTTACTCAGGGAGACTTGGTCTACAGAGGGGAAAAATACATTTAAAAAGCAAGTGTTCTGAGGCCAAAGCCAGCTAAAGCTGCTCTCCCTTTTTACTCATAGGAAAGAGACCCTTAAACGAGGTGATAAAAGTACTTAGCAGCTGAAACAGAAGTAAATCCTTGTCATCATTACACAATGTTACTAGTAATACTGTGAATAAATTCCAGGACAGCCGGGGTCATGAGTCCCTTGCTTAAAAAAAACAAATAAATAAAAATAAATAAATAACGCAGGGTTGTGGCAGATGCCTTTAATCCCCGCACGCAGGATGCAGAGGCAGGAGGATCCCTGAGTTTGAGGCCACTTGGTCTACAGAGTGACTTCCAGGTCAGGCAGGGCTGTTAAACAGTGGAAACCCTGTCACGGAAAATTGAAGGGAAAACAAAACACCAAAGGACTCCTAAACCCTCACTGCAGCCATTGCCTCTGCTATATCAGGCGCATTCGGGCCTCCCTGGTCCCAGTCTCCCTGGTGTCCTCTCCAGGACAGCTCCCCCCTGTATTCCTGTATCCTGACCGGAAACCCAACTTTGGCCGCCAGGGGGCGAAACCTACTGAAGAGACCTCGAAAAACAGGCTCCGCCCGCAACAGGCGCGGTCGCCTAGCTCGCCCCCCTCCCTCGGCCGTGGAGCCAAACCCAAGGCGCATGTCCGCCAGGTGCCGGCGCGGCTCCATGACGTCACGCGAGGCGCCAAAGCGGAATTCTGACCACCGTGCATTGATGTCCTGGAGCGAGTCTGTGTGTGGACTGTGCCGATTTTGATTCTTGGTCCCGGTGGCCGAAAGCTGCTGAAGAGCCTGAAGAGCACATTCCCTAAGTTATCTACTATGGCTTCCCTGAGACAATAGCCTGACAGAATGCTACCATGAGGAATGAGCCTCAACATCAGGGCAGGAGACAGCACAGTGACTTAGGAAACATGTAGGAAGGAAGGCCTGTCTCAGAAAGGAATATCTTTTTTCTTATTTATATTCTCCTTTGGCCTAGTAGCCAGGTTCTTTCCAAGGTCATCATCTTTCCCCCATAGTAATCTTATCCATTAAGATATGGAATTTAAGAGTTACCCTTGCAATTTCTGAAATTGATCTCATGGTATTTCTGTTTACCTTTGCTCTCCTTATTGATATGGTACTGATGCAGGAAATACTGACACATCTCATGGTCTCCTACATCCTCAGTGGGCATTTGACCAGCTTTGATAGTTGCACCCATTTGCAGGGTCTGCAATGTTTCCAGGCCATAGCTTAGATGCTTCGGAGTTTGGCACAGTAGCATCACTCCTTTGTTCTTCAAGGGATTTTCAACCAATTATAGAAGTTTCACCTTGCATTTGATTAGGAAAGTACCAATTACACCACAGTACTCCCTGGGGATGTCACATTTCCCCAACCTACATGTGAGATACATTTCACAGGTTAGAAATAACATATTTAGGTTACATATGATCTATGTAAGACTGCCTATTGTCGAAACAGATGCCCCAGATTCTAGTGCTGTACATACCAGTCCACATCTATATCATAGTCTTATTTAATTCATGAGGATGTTTATGTGACTATCATGGTGAATGACAGAGTTCTAATGATTGGGAAATAGCCCAAGCCACTGGTTTTCGGATATGGATGACTTTTACTCTCAATGATCCATATAGAAATGTTGGTGATGTTATTGTTGGTCACCAAAACCAACAGAGGGATAAGGTGTTGTGAAAATGTAGTAGGTAGAAGCCATGGCCTTTAATGAACAGAGAGATAGAATCACTAAAATATGGTCTGTAACCCTGTATGTCTGATTAATAATATCAGTGAAACACACACACACACACACACACACACACACACACACACACACACAC